ACTTCTGCCACCGTTATCTTTGGTTGTTAATATCACATCGTCGTATTTTCTAAGAAAGTCAAAATTTTTGTACAACACCGCGATGTGAGCAGGTGATTTCTCCGCCAACAACAAGTCAAAGAAAAACCGAACATTGTCATACTTTTGGTCAAAAAATATGTCGACAGGTATGACTTTCAAATTTTTTGACAAATAAGTGGCCACCAAATATTCCGCAAAAGTTCTATGAAAAAAATGCGGGACGTTATTTTGTAGTTGGGTTACGATACCAATGGATGCATAACTATTGTTCAAAAATTCTTGACCAATTTCACGTTCCATTTCGTAAAAGTTGTCAAATTTCTCTTCGATGAAACTGCCGTATAAATCAGTTAAGAGGAATTCGTTGTCCAAAAGTTGCAAATATTTTTCGTGATTTCGACGAAACAGCTCCGTGAGCATAAATATTTGAATCGGGATCCCTAATAGGTCAACGTGTTCAACAATTACAAATGTAGAGTTAATTTTATGGACGATTGTCTCAATTTCGTCGACAGAATTGAAAGATTGAAGTCGCTGTTTGACGTAGTCTTGTTGCTCCATTTCGCTAAACTGTGTTAACCTGAGTGACAATACGCTGAATTTTTTCTCCAGAAATTTTTGGAGATGTGGTCTACTGGTTACCCACTGAACGTACCCTTTTTTTGACAACTGTAGTATCATATCTGACACAAAATCTAAATGTTCGCTTAAAATTTCATCAAGTGCGTCCCAAACGTACAAAACACGTTTTTCTTTCAAACACATTTCGAAGAAACATTGCTCCAATTTTTTAAGAAAGCTGTATTTCTTGTTGATAAATGTTTCGAACGAGGTTAGATAGTTTGATGCTTGACTTGGTGTGAAAGATTTAAAAAATAGGTGGACGTCGTTCGGACTAATCGTGACTGTCCAGTACTGAGAGGGACACTTATTTTTGAGACTTTTCATCAACTCAGATTTACCCGTTCCTGGATCACTGGTTATCAAATTGATGTTATTATCTGTCTGAGAAGACCACAGGACGTTCTCGTGTGTAAAATAGTTGCTACGTAATTTGTAATTATCTAAAGTACTAACATCGCCTTTGCTTTGGATCCATTCCAAGTGTCCGTCGTTCGCAACTCTGAAATAGTGAAAAGTGTGCGTTTTTGAATTATCTTTACAAATTTTTTGAAACTGAGATTGGGTAAGGTTGCTATTACATATGTACATTTTGTTAGGATTTGGGTTATCAAAATTGTCGCTTACATTACTAACTACATTTTGTGCCCCTTCAAATTGTTCAAGATCAATTAATTTATACGTTTTAAGTTTCTTCTTTACTTTATCAAAATTGTCCGCGTAATGCAAAATGATGATAGTGTCATCATGGACTCTTTCTAAATACTTAATATTGATAATATTTTGCGATAAATAGCGCTCGATATAAGGTTCGGCAAGTTTTTCCTTCTTTCCGTCTATATAGCATGGTCCGTTAAGCATTCCCATCAAATCTGACGTTGTCACATTTTTCAGAAATTCTTCACTTTTTACTAAAGCTGTCCTTACATCCAGTTCTTCCTTTCCTTGAATAGAGACCGTAAAATTTTCCAATATTTTTTCGTAATTCTCTTCCTTCAGCGTTAAGTCTGACAAATTTTGAAACATCGAATATTGTGTCATCCATTCTTGGACGGTTCCTTCACCAAGCACGATGAACTTTTGATCATCACAAAGCTGGACGGCTGTTTCAAGATATACGTTCCGACGTATGATTAACGGACATTTATTTAGCAACCAGAGCAACTGAGTCAACAACTTTGGCTTTAATTTCTCGATGTCACTAATATGATCAACAGACAATTGATATTTTTTCCTTATTCTGTTAACTTCTTCAATGTCAATACTGTGTTGTCCAAGATCACCCCACAAATGTTTAACAATTTCACGTGAACTCTCGTCAACCAAAGTCATAGTGAACATGGATATTGCGTCTCGAAGTATTCTCATTTTGTTATTAACTGGACCAAAAGACAAAGTTTCCATATGAGGCGACAAAAGTTGCAGCGCTATGGCACGTTGCATCCACTTCTTGTCCAACTTTTCTTTTTTCCCTTCTAGCATATTCCACTCCGAAATTATTTTCAACAATTGGTCGAAACCCTCCTCACTTGAAGAATACCTTGTTGTGAACTTTTCAACTGTTGATAGTCTCAACGCGCTAAAATTTTCTTGATTAGAGTAAAGAAAAAGTTTCCTGAAAAATGCTTTATATTCTTGAATTTCGGAAAAGTGATCCGCGGTCCAAGCGTCTTCCACGATTTCAAATTTGTAAACCCGATTTACGTTCTTTGAAATTTCAAAATTACTACACGCTTTCACAGGTCGAACGTAAAATTTTTGTCCGTCGAGTTGAAATTTTGCCTCGGTAACATCAAATGGACGGTCGGTAAAAATTACGAACCCTTGTACTGCATTCTTGAGTTTTTGGAACGATTTGAAATATTTGTTTAAACTAAAATCCCCTCTTTCCGATTTCAGGTCTTCCAAGGTTAATGTTTTTGGATCGCCGTGCTTTAACAGTATGGCTTTTAGTGTTGTCTTTTGGTCCGACTCAATTTTGACGATTATATCATCAAATGGATCGAAGTTGTTGTCTTTTGACGATATGTGGAAGTTGCTTATTTTATCGTCGGCTACCATCTGTAAAACGATGTTGGCTATAGTCATGTTTTCGTATTCTTTTCCTTCGTCAGTTGTCTCGGGTCGTTTTTTAAATATCTGAAAATGCACAAAGGGTCACTAACTACCACAATGTATACTTATTTAAGATTTGTTACTACCATCAGTTTATTTTTTTTAATAAATACATCAATACTGGTTGTTAAACAACATTTGAAATAGACTACTTATTTATTGACTAGTACTACTCTACCCCTGTGGTGTCCCAGTTCAAATTAAATTTAACGCTAAAAAACGTCTTTGTAACGTCGGGTTTTCCGGGAAATTATATATTGTTTTTTTTTTTCTTAATATACATAGCCATCTTTTCACAACAAAAAACTTAAAATGGTTAATATGGTACATTTTTGCAAGGAAATATGGATTTTGCAACGATGGGGCGGAGCCTAATTGCAAAATCGACATTTTCTTAAACAATTTTCCATTTTAAACATGTTTCAATTTCATACTGTGAAAAGAAGTTAAACATATTAAAACAAAAAACAAAATGTAATCCCGCCCACCCGCCCTATCTCAATTGTGATGATTTTTTTTATTCGCCCTGAACCAGGGGCGCGAAGCTTAACTGCAAAATACTTATTTCTTAACAAGAAATTAAAAACATTTTTGTAAGGAAATAGGGATTTTCCAATTAGGCTCCTCCTCTAGGTCTAGCAACGAATGAAAACTTGATTACTACATATTTTGATCAGGGCAGGTATGGGTGGGGCTTGATCTTTGGCTTTAATTTTTTCTTAATATACAATGTACATGTTTTTAATTTCGTAGAGAAATAAGGATTTTGCATTTCTCTGAATAATAAGACTGGGATTTGGTTGATATACGTGGTACTTTGTTATTAGTTAAAGTAAAATCTATAAATATCACTTTGGGCTTCTGATGTTTTATGAAAGAGTTCGAAAAGGTTTTTCTCCTGATAATTCTGAAAAAGTTTGAAATAATCTTGGGTTGCCCTAGTGGTCTATTAAAGCCAAAAAATCGTGTACCTTAGCAAGTCCTAGCCCCGCCCACCCGCCCTCTATTTTCTTAGAGTGTATATTATTGCTAAAATCAGTCTTATCTTAGCAAGTACTAGCCCCACCCACCCACCCTTTATTTTCTAAGAGCGCATGTCATTCACCACAATCAATCTTATCTTAACAAATACTAGCCCCGCCCACCCGCCCTCACTTTTTTTTAGAAGGTATGTCATTTGCCAAAATCAGTTCTATCTTAGAAGGTGCTAGCCCCACCCACCCACCCTCTCTTTTTTTAGAAGGTATGTCATCTGCCAAAATCAGTTTTATCTTAAAAGATACTAGCCCCACCCACCCACCCTCTCTTATCTTAGAAGGTATGTCATTTGCCAAAATCGGTCTTAAACTCAAACTCAAGAAAAGAGCGAGTTTTTTCTTAAAAGGTACTAGCCCCACCCACACACTCGCTCTTTTCTTGAGTTTGAGTTTAAGATCGATTTTGGCAAATGACATACCTTCTAAGGAAAGAGGGGGTGGGTGGGGCTAGTACCTTTTTAGAAAAAACTGATTTTGGCAAATGACAGACCTTCTAAAAAAAGAGAGGGGGGGTGGGCGGGGCTAGGACCTGATAAGATAAAACTGATTTTGGCAGATGACATACTTTTTAAAAAAAGAGAGGGTGGGTGGGCGGGGCTAGTACCTTTTAAGATAAAACTAATTTTGGCAGATGATATACCTTCTAAGAGAACAGAGGGTGGGTGGGTGGTTGAGGCTAGTACTTGTTACGATAAAACTGATTTTGGCAGATGATATACCTTCTAAGAAAAACCGCTCTTTATTTTCTTAGAGGATATGTCATTTGCCAAAATCAGTAGTACTTTAGAAAGTACTAGTCCCACCAACCCGCCCACTCTTTTCTTAGAAGGTATATCATCTGCCCAAAATCAGTCTTATCTTAGCAAGTACTAGCCCCACCCACCCACCCTCTATTTTCTTGGAAGGTATGTGATTTGCCAAAACCAGTCTTATCAAGGCAGGTACTAGTACCAACCACCCACCCTCTGTTTTCTTGGAATGAATGTGATTTGCCAAAATAAGACTTATATTAGCAAGTACTATCCTCTAAGAAAATAAAGGGCGGCTGGGTGGGGCTAGTCCTTGCTAATATAAGACTGATTTTGGAAAATCACATACCTTTCAATAAAATAGAGAGTGGGTGGGTGGAGCTAAGACCTTCTAAGATAGAACTGATTTTGGCAAATGACATACCTTCTAAAAAAAGAGAGGGTGGGTGGGTGGGGCTACCGCCTTCTAAGATAGAACTGATTTTGGCAGATGACATATCCTCTAAGAAAAACCGCTCTTTATTTTCTTAGAGGAATGTCATTTGCCAAAATCAGTCGTACTTTAGAAAGTACTACTACTACTTGGCTCACGACGAATAAAAAAAATCATCACAATTGAGATAGGGCGGGTGGGTGGGGCTACATCTTGCCTTTTTCTCTTAACATGTGTGGACTTATTTCGACAACAAGAAACTTAAAACATGTCCAAAATGGTAAATTTTTGTAGTAATCAACTTAGATCCGCCTTTTTATTCAATTTTCTGCTCTATAAACAACGTCAGTGGGAACAGCAACTGCAACGGGAATTTCAACGTCAACAGCGAGTTTATAAATCTACTTTAAACAATAATGACCTGATTTTACAATTTTGCCGATTTAATTTATCTTTACCAAATAGAATTTTTGGTAAATTCTGATCTGGTTGAATGACCCGGGTTTAAGGATTCGATTATCGGACGTTTTAGATAAAATTTCTAAACTAAAATCAGTAGAATGTAAAATGGTACGTTTCATCGTTTTTTTTTCATCTATTTAATCTTTTTTTCCTGTTTTTTCATCATCATTCTATCATGTTTTAAGCAAACGGGCCAATTTTGACGTTGAAGGTTTTTATTGCTTTTTTTATAAAATAAAAAAGTCAATTTTTGACGTGAAGTTTTACTTACTACTAATTTGTCCATTTTTTTTCTGTTATATATTTAATTTTATAGGATTGCATACTCCTGCATGTGTGATTTATGAATCCGCGTTGAGTTTTTACCCTGAGCATGCAGATTTTTGGAAAAAAAAAATCAACATTATATAAGAATATTTTACAATGTAACTTTGAAATTGCAAAAACCGAATGCAGTGAAATGGTGCAAATAGTTTAAGATTATTTGAAACATGCTAAAAATTTGCCCGTTGAATTTCTACAAATTTATGAGAGTTCTTGGGGAAAACACTGAGTATGGATTAATCAATCACTCCTTTCCTATGCGTTGAGGGCACAAAATCAACCAAATTTCATTTTTATTTTCTTGTATAACAAATTCAGGATTTAATTTTAAACATTGATGCGCTTCGAAAAATAATTATTCTAGTAAGAAAATGTCGTTGTAAATACGAAGAGGGAAAGGGACCTGAATTTTGAACACTTATTATTCTCGAGCACTTCTCTCACAGCGAAGTGTGTACAGAGCGCCTTGATTGGCTCCGGATTCTACAAAGTATTTCCAGTTTTTACAGCGATGTAGAGCCATCGTTACTAGCGCTATCCACTTCGGCCCCGGATTCCACTAAAAACTCGACAATACTTTCGTGACCCATTTGTGACGCCATGTAAACTGCTGTACACCCCATATTAATACGACGATTGACTTCGGCCCCTGATTCCACTAAACCCTTCACAATTTGGAAGTGACCATTTTGTGAAGCTGCGTGAAGCGGTGTAACACCATCTTTATCTGCCCGATTTACTTCGGCCCCTGATTTCACTAAACATTCGACAATTTTTTCATGGCCGTTGAGGGAAGCGCCACGAAGCGCAGTAAAACCGTCTTTATCGCCGCGATTGACATCGGCGCCCGATTTCACTAGGAATTCGACGATTAATTCGTGGCCATTGTCAGAAGCTTTGTGAAGCGGTGTATAACCATTATTAATCGCACGATTTACTTCGGCCCCGGATTTCACTAAGCACGTCGCAGTTGATAAGTGGCCATTCTGTGAAGCTAAGTACAGTGGTGTGAAGCCACCGCTATCTGCGTGATTTATTTCGGCCCCTAGTTTCACTAAACATTCGACAGTTTTCTGGTGGCCGTTAAAGGAAGCTGCGTGAAGCGCAATAAAACCGTTTGTGTCAGTACGGTTGATTTCGGCGCCGGATTTCACTAAGAATTCAACAATTATTTCGTGGCCCTTTTCCGAAGCGATATGAAGCGGCGTATAGCCACTATTAATGGCACGATTTACTTCGGCCCCGAATTTCACTAAGTGCTTCACAGTTTGTAAGTGGCCATTCTGTGACGCTACGTAAAGCGGTGTAAAACCATCCTTATTGCCTCGATTTATTTCGGCTCCTAATTTTACTAAACTTTGCACAATTTTTTCGTGGCCATTTATAGAAGCTATATAAAGTGGTGTATATCCACTTCTGGTGGGAGGATTTATTTCGGCCCCGGATTGCACTAACGACACGACAATTTGTAAATGGCCGTTTTGTGAAGCTGCGTAAAGGGGTGTGAAGCCTTCGTTATCTGCTAGATTTATGTCGGCCCCTGATTTCACTAAACACTCGACAATAAGTTCGTGGCCGTGGAAACAAGCGTTGCGTAACGCGGTATGACCGTCTTTGTTACCACGATTGATTTCGGCACCTGATTTCACTAAGAATGCAACTACTAATTCGTGGCCGTTTTCACAAGCTTTGTGAAGGGGTGTAGAGCCAGTATTCGTAGGACGATTGATTTCGGCACCGGATTTCACTAGATATTTGACGGTTTGTAAATGGCCGTTTTGTGAAGCTGCGTAAAGCGGTGTAAAACCATCATTATCTCCGCGATTTATTTCGGCCCCTGATTTCACTAACTGTTTCACAATTTTTTCATGGCCGTTTAGTGAAGCACCTTGAAGCGCGGTAAGACCGATTTTATTAGCACGATTGATATCGGCACCCGATTTCACTAGAAATTCAACAATTAATTCGTGGCCATAATGAGAAGCTGTGTGAAGTGGTGTAGATGCAAGTTCCGTGAAACGATCGATTTCGGCTCCGGATTTCACTAAGTACTTGACAGTTTGTAAGTGGCCATTTTGTGAAGCTACGTACAGGGGTGTAAGGCCATTGTTATCTAGGTGATTTATGTCAGCCCCTGATTTCACTAAAAATTGAACTGTTTCTTCATGGCCGTTATAAGAAGCGACACGGAGTGCAGTCCAACCGTTGTCATTAGCGAGATTGATTTCTGCACCTGATTTCACTAAAAATTCAACAATCATTTCGTGGTTCTTATCAGAAGCTATCTGAAGCGGTGTATTTCCACCAGTGATAGGACGGTTTATTTCGGCTCCGGATTTCACTAAATACTTGACGGTTTGTAAGTGGCCGCTTTGCGAAGCTAAGTAAAGGGGTGTAAAATCATCACCTCGATTTAGTTCGGCCCCTGATTTCACTAAATATTCCACAATTGCTATATGGCCGTTAAAAGAAGCGCCTTCAAGTGCTGTTAGACCGTTTTTACTAGCACGATTGACGTCTGCGCCTGATTTCACTAATAACGCGACAATTAATTCGTGGCCGTTATAAGCAGCTGTGTTAAGTGGAATAAAACCACTATTCATGGAACCATTTATTTCAGCTCCAGATTTCACTAAATACGTGACAGTTTGTAAGTGGCCATAATGTGAAGCGACGAATAGCGGCGTAGAACCATCACGCTCTGGTCGATTTATTTCGGCCCCTGATTTCACCAAATATTCAACAATTTTTTTGTGTCCTCCCTTGGATGCTAAGATAAGTGGCGTTTTGTGGTCGGCTTTCGTAATAAAGTTAATTTCCTGATGACTATTACTTAACTTTTGACTAAACACTTCAATTACGTCGTCATACGCGAGTAAAGTGGAGTAATACAAAATGTTTATTCTATCATCATCAGTAATTGATTGGAAAAAAATTGTATTTTTACGTAGTAGTAATTTTAGTTCGACCGCCAAACTTTCACTTTTCTTGGCATACAACAGCGGTGTTATCCCTAGCAGGGAATCATGTTCTGAATTATTGTTTTTGGTTTGTAAATACATTACTGCCTCAAGAAATTGTGTACTTTCTGGTTTACCATTAAAGGTGGTACCCTCATCAACTATATATTTGTTATTTTCGTGGATCACTTGTACATGTGGGTGCCTTTGTCCCCACGAGCAAATCAAATGTAAAGCACTTCTTCCCCCGTTATCTTTGCGTGTTAATATTTCGTCATCGTATGTTTTAACGAAGTCAAAATTTTTGTACAATATCGCCAGATGAACAGGTGAGTTCTCTGCTAACAGCATATCAAAGAAAAAGCGTACGTTGTTATACTTCTGATCAAAAAATATGTCAACTGGTATATTTGTAAAATTTTTGGATAAGTATGTGGCAACTAAATATTCCGCAAAAGATCCATGAAGAAAGTGTGGTTCGTTACTTTGTACTTGGGTTATTATACCAACAGACGCATAGTCATTGCGCGAAAATTTTTTGACCGATTTTTGGTAATTAATGTCTAATCGTTGTAATACAAATTCGGGATATATTAGTTTTAACGCAAGTATTTCGTAGTGTTTTAACATCTTTTCTTTTTCGCGACGAACCATAACTGCCATATGTGGATTTTGAAGATCAAAAGCACTTTTATTTTCGTAGAAGATGTTAAATTTTTCTTCGATAAAACTGCGGTATAAATCAGTTAAACGAAATTTATTGTCTATAAGTTCCAAGTACTTTTCGTTATTTCGACGAAATAGTTCCGTGAGCATAAATATCTGAAGCGGAATTCCTAATATGTCAACATGTTCGATAATTACAAAGGTAGATTTAATTTTCTGAATGGTGATCTCAATTTCGGCTTCAGAACTGACACATTTGAGTCGCTGTTTTATGTAATTTTGTTGTTCTTTATCGCTAAATTGTGTTAAGTCAATTGACAGCACATTGAATTTTTTCTCTAGAAAAGTTTGGAGGTGTTTTCTACTAGTTACCCACTGAACAAAACCTCTTTTTGTTAGCTGAAGTATTATATCTGAAACAACATCTAAATATTCGTTTAAAATTTCATCTAGTCCATCCCAAACATACACAATATGGTTTTGTTTTAAACACATTTCGAAAAAACTTTGGTCTAATTTTTTGAGTGAGCCGTATTTTTCGTTGATTATAAATCTTCCGAACCAAGTTAGGTAGTTTGATCCTTGACTTAATTTAAAAGATTTAAAAAATAAATGGACATCGTTAGGATAAATCGTAACCGTCCAATTTTGCGCTGGACATTTATTTTTGAAACTTTTCATCAACTCAGATTTACCCATTCCCGGATCACTAGTTATCAAATTGATGTTATTTTCTAATTGAGAAGACCACAGGGAGTTTTCATGCGTGAAAGAGCTGTTAGATAATTTGTAATTTTCTAAGTCACTCATATCACCTTTGCTTTGAATCCATTGCAAATGTCCGTTGTTTGCGACTTTGAAATAGTGAAACCTGTGCATTTTTGAATTATCCGTATATATTTGTTTTAATTTAGATTCGAGAAGTTTATTACTACTGATATACATTTTATTACGAAAATCTATTTTATCCAAACTATCGTTAAACGCGCTTTCATTGCTAACTACATTTTCTGTTATGCCTTCATCGTTGTCATTTTGTTTTTTGGGAACATTATCAACATTAATTAGTTTGTATTTTTTAAGTTTATCCTTCACTTTATCAAAATTACCCGTGTATTGTAAAATGATAATAGTGTTTTCATGTACTTTTTCTAAATAATTAATATCTATAACATTTTGCGATAAATGACGTTCGATATAAGGTTCAGAGAGTATTTCTTTCTCTCCGTCTATCAAGCATGGTCCGTTTAGCATTCCCATCAAATCAGACGTCGTCACATTTTCCAGAAATTTTTCATTTTTTCCAAAAGCTGTCACTAAGTTAAACTCTTCCTTTCCTTGAATAGAGACAGTAAAAGTTTCCATTACTTTTTGGTAAAACTCCCCTTTCAGGTTTGACAGATTTTGGAATAACGAATAGTGTGTCATCCATTCCTCTTTCATTCCGTCACCAAGCACAACGAACTTTAGATCTTCACACAATTTGACGGCTTTTTCAAAATTTTTAAACTCACGTATTATTAAAGGGCATTTATCCGTCAACCACAACAACTGCGCAAATAACTTTGAGTTTAATTTGTCAATGTCGTTAGCATCAATATAGTCAACTGACAGTTGGTAATTTGTCCTTATTCTGTTTATTTCTTTAATGTCAATATTTTGTTTTGCAACATCACCCCACAAAATTTTAGCATTTTCACTTGAATTCTCTTCAACTAATGTGATAGTGAACATGGATATAGCATCTCGAAGTATTTTCATCTGGTCATTAACTGCACCAAAACATAACGGCTCAATATGAGGTGACAAAATCTCGAGCGCAATAGCACGTTTCATCCATTTCTTGTTCAACTTTTCTTTGTTCCCTTCTCTTATATTCCACTCCGATATTATTTTGTAGTATTGATCGAAATCCTTTTCATTCAAAGAATACGTTGTTCTAAACTTTTCAATTGTTGATTGTCTCAGTGTGTCAAAATTTTCTTGATTAGTATAAAGAAACAATTTCGAAAAAAATGTTTGATAATCTTGAATTTCGGAGATATGTTCTCTAGTCCATGCATCTTCTACGATTTCAAATTTGTAGACATAATTTACGTTTTTTGAAATTGCGAAGTGGTCAGGTGAACTACACACTTTAACAGGTCGAACATAAAACTTCTGCCCTTGTAGCTGAAACTTTGCGTCTTGCTTGACACCAAATGAACGATTCGTAAAAATTATAAATTCTTGTGCTACATTCTTGAGTGGTTGGAAAGAGTCAAAATATTTGCCTAAACTAAAGTCTCCCTTTGCGGATTTCAGATGCTCAGATGAAAGTGTTTTTTGGGTGCTGTGTTTTAACTGCATTGCTTTTAGTATGACATTTAGATCCGACTCGATTTTGACGACGACATCATCAAATGCACCGAAGTTGTTATCATTTGACGATATTTGAAAGTTATCTATTTTATCGTCAGCTACCATTTGTAAAACGATGTTGGCTATGGCCATGTTTTCGTACTCTTTACCCTTGTCGGTTGTTCCGGGTCGTTTTTTAAACATCTGAAAATGCATAAATGGATCACTAACTACTCACAAGACGGTTTTTGTTGTGAAAAACTTTTTACTATTATATATAAAAATAAGGAAGGTTACCTAAGCGTTATTTTTGAAAACGCTGAATACATTAATAGAGAGCGGATTTCGAGGTTTAATGCTTTATGTGAAAAATGTAAGCACTTTAAAACTTTTTTATATCTGTAACTATGATACAATTTGGAGTCATTTGACACATTTTTTTTTATGCTTATTTGCTTTTTTTTCAATTTTATGGATATTAAAACTTATATGCTTATTTAATGCTTTTTTCGGCGAATATGAGTTCTAATACATATTTTGTTCAATTGCCGGCCTTGTCGGGATGACAAATACTTGTTAGTTAGCCGTATCGTATCGTATGCATTTTACCTGGACTTACATTGAAGTACACTTACTCAAGACCCTTTCTGTGAATAGGTTCCGGTCGTTTGGGTAATAAAATTTTATTATAGGATTGGAAAAATACTCCATAGATTTTATGACTTTAAATCCTTACTTCCGTTGATAATGAATTAAAGCTTTTAACCAGCTGTTCTTTTTCGGCATTTTGCGGCAAGACCGTTAAAGATTTTCTAGAAAAAAGGATTATTGTACCCAACTACCTACCTTAAAATTTTTCTAATGGAAACTTTTAAGTAAATGGACCGTTTATTTCACAACCATCAGTCTATCGCATCTGTCGTAGTACAGTGTTATACGTGGTTCTCCCTTGTTACATGTTGAGTTCTTTTTGGTAATATTACTAATATTTTAAAAGAATGCCGAAAGTAAAATCGACGCCGAATGAGTGGATAAGGGATTTTCCAGAATTAAAATTAGAACACAACAAAATATTCTGCAGAGCTTGTGTGAAAACCGTAAGCCCACTAATTTTTTTTTATCTATTTTCCTTTGTTAATCCTGTATATGTACGTTGTTTTAGATTCAAAGTGATAAAAAATATAACGTGACGAAACATGCCAGAACGACTCTTCATGTAGAAAGGAAGAAAAAGTTTGAAGTTTCTAAAATTAAACAGCAGACCATACATGAATCTGTTGCATCTACTTCCACAAAAGATGAGCAGTTTCAGTTTAATTTCGATTTATGTAAAATGATGATCCAGTCCAATATACCTTTAAAAAAATTGGAGAAAGGCCCTCTTCAAGAATTCCTTGAAAAACACTGCAATCGACATATTCCGGTTGAAAGTTCTCTCCGAAAAAATTATGTAGGCCCAGTGTTTTAGCAAGTTTACAACGAATTTAAACATCGCATTGGAGATAATTATTTATGGTTCGCTGTCGATGAAACAACCGATAGTTGTGGAAGATACGTGGCAAGTTTAATTGTTAGAATCTTAAATGAAAATTTCCCTAGTCGAGGGTATGTAGTAAGTTTGAAAATGTTAGATAAAACAACGATTACCAGATTTGTAAATGACAGTCTTACGTCACTATTTTTGCCAAATGCCGTACCGGCGAATAAAATTTTATTGATGATCTCGGATGCAGCTCGTTATATATTGAAAGCAGGGAATAAGCTAAAAATATTGTACCCCAATTTAATTCACTCTACTTGCATTGCCCACGGTTTAAACAGAGTGGCTGAAGGAATACGTTTGCAGTTTCATACTGTTAATAAATTAGTGGCAAATGGTAAAAAGATTTTTGTTAAAGCCCCACTAAGAGTGCAACATTTTAAGGAAAAATTTCCAAACATACCATTGCCCCCAGAGCCGATTATAACGAGGTGGGGAACATGGTTACAGGCCACATTTTATTATGACAAATATATCAAAGAATTTGAGGAAGTAGTTACGGAGTTTAGCGAAGATTCTTCTCAATCGATTAAAGATTGCATAAATATTTTGGAAAACAAAGATTTGCGACAAGATCTACCTTTTCTAAGAAGCAATTATCAATTCGTATGTGAGGTAATAGAAAAGTTAGAAAAACCCAACATGTTGTTGGTAGATGCCATAAACTTAGTGAAAGAATTTAAACAACAAGCAAACGCAGTAAGGGGTGATATTGGTACTAGATTGTCTCAAAAACTTGACGAAGTGTTAAATAAAAATGCAGGTTTCGGTGTTCTTTCCGACGTTGCTCGTGTTTTACAAGGCCAGAAGGTGGAAAATTTGGAGTTAGATTCAACATTAGTTGCAAAATTCAAATTTGCGCCAACAACAAGTGTGGATGTTGAACGCACATTCTCCAATTTTAAACACATTTTAAATGATCGGCGAAAAAATTTTACAGTGGACAACTTGGAACATATTACAAACATAAATTGTTTTAAAGAAAACTGAAATACGGGTGTAAAATATAAAGTCTAGGATTATTGTAACAATATTTTATCCAAAGTTCTAAGAAGTGTTCTTTGATTTGTAATATGATTATGTTTTTAATGCTTTTTTGCTTAAAATAAAACTTTTTTATTGAAAATGTTGTGCGTATTTAAGCGCTTATTCTTAATTTTTTTGTGCTTATAAATCCGCTCTCTATACATTAATATCTTATTCCAAACGACTGTAAAACCCCAATAAAATTAAAATAGACGCTTTTACAATCTGACCTTCTGCTTTACGTACAGGACAATTTTTGGCAACATTATTATTAATAAACAAGAATAAACCGTCTTGCTTGTGCCGACCATAATAATAAACCCAAAACGTGTTAAAAACATCTTTTACATCTAGTTACGTTATGAGAGTGTAAACACCGAAAACCAAAAGTTCCTCCAATCATCTGGAATGAACTTTCCCATCTTGACTTAATTCCCGCTCCCCAAAATATTTACATAAATAAATTCGTTCCTTGTTTATTTTTCACACCCACTTTAAACACACAGGTATCGTGTGAATCCATTATCTCTGAATTAAATGCCTGCTGAGACGTGTAAACGTTCAATTTCCGAATGTTCCACTTCTAAAAATACCAAAGATCCATCAAAGTTTTACAACACAATGGTTAACTAGTTCGTACGGTGGCGACCGGGTCTAAAGCAAAATGGAATGTTTTGTCAACTACAATGCGTTGAAAATTTATGAACTGTTCGACTACGATGGAATCGTCATTCCTCGGAAATACCCTTCGGTTATCGTACCCAACTACGTTCTGCATCAAGATTACTTCTATGGATTCTATTATGGTAAGTAAATTGCTGCCGTTTAATATTAATCGTTACTACGTCTGTGTGTACAAACAAATACCTGCACAGATGTATACAATCGTCACGGGGTTATTAGATGGTGTGGCCACAAATTCGTAAATATACTGGCCATAACAAACTGGCAATGTTTGTTTTATGACATCCTTTATAAAATACAGATAAAAAACGGATCTAGATTCTTAGGAACCTAATGCTGTTATTTATTTGAGGCCCCTTTTTTCCTATTATATATAGGAGTTGGTTAGAAAATTTAATTTATAGCAGATGGCCGACGGGAAAATGGTCTCTCAGCAACATACGTAAGTTGGAGTGTTTATGTTTGTACGTAAGAATGTCACGCAGAAATTTGTTTGATTTGAATAAGTTTATGGCCGCAAAACAGAGGTAAATACCCTGTAGAAAAGTCTCTTCCGAAAAAAAAACTGAATCTTATATGTGACAAATAGTATAACAGCAAAAAATACGATTAGCGCTTTTTTTAGCAGCCTAGATTTTATTCGTTCCCATTCCCACTCTACAAAAAAACATATAATTAATAGCGCCCACCCACCCCGCCTCCATTTCAGTGGTTCATTTTACTTGCTCTCAATAAAAGGTGGATCTTATCGGAAATAAAATTAGTCCTTATAATGAGATCTACGCGGGTGGGCGGGGTTAGTACTTGCTAAGATAGAACTAATTTTGGCAAATGACATACACTTTAAGAAAATAGGGGGGGGGGGGTGGGTGGGTGGGTGGGTCTAGCAAGATAAGACTGATTTTGGCAAATGACATACCCTCAAAGAAAACAGAGGGCGGGTAGGTGGAGAAAATAATTGCTAAGATAAGACTGAACAATATTTAGAGTAGTAATTCTAAAAATGACTAGTGGCGATTGTATTGTTTTAGCAACATCATTAAAGGCAGGCGACAGATGGAAGGGAAGACTTATATGTTCATATCCTAGGAGTTATGAAACGTCGGAAAAACATGTAATTAACAATGCGTCAAATTTACTCTAATAATAATAATAATAATAATAATTTAAGTCAATTTAGACACTTAGTTCTGAAATATTTAAAAATCGATTATTTATTATTATTTTGCGTCAAATTCGATAACGGTTACGTGGTCCGACTAGTCGTTCCTGAGATACTTAATAATAATACATAAATAATAATTGATGCAGTTAGTTGTAAAAAAAATTGCCTTGAGAAATCCCTTATTAAAGATGACTGGTAATTTTGTCTAAATTTATTTGATGCACGTAAAAATACGTATCAACGTAATAATATCTATTTATAAAAATACATAAGTAGTTCGAAACTCAATTATTGTTACATTTAGTTATTTATGCAAAAAATACCAGGAGTCCACGTGTGACGTAAAACAGCAGAGAAGGTTAATGTGGCAAAATGGTGGTACTACTTTTATTAGAAATATAAATTTCAAGCTAGTTCTTTAGGCTCTTCTATGTCAAAAAAGCAGACTCACCTCGCTGCCAGTGTCCATTTTTCAACTGATAGTAATCTCGGTCCCAGAAACACAGTTTTCAACAATTAGCTGGAACTGTGGACTCAACTGACTTGGGCAAAGAAACTGCGACGTTAACTGGCAGTTAATATCACATTTACGTCGATAATTATAAAGTTAACCAGTTCTTTCATGATGAATAATACCATGTCGACGGTCAAGTTTTCGTAACCATGGGAAATTCTAGTTGACTCACCGACCACTTCCATCCAAGGTTATCTGTGTTCCCGGGTGATGTGATAACCATTACCGTTTAAACGGTTTCGTTCTCTCTCTCTCTCTTTCGCTTATGTATTATGGTATGGTTTGTTGCATAACCTCTGTATCCATTTGCAGTGGATCATTGCTTTCTACAACCATTTGCTGCGTTTTTGGAAAAGTAGGACCTCTTTCATAGCGATTTATTTACCCACCTCTATTTTTGAGAATACAGCTTGAGAGATCGCTAACAAAAATTTAACCAACCATGACACCAAAATGTTGATGTTCATTAACCCATTTTTTTGAATCCAAAAAATTGCCATATTCGTTGGGTGATTCTGTGAAAATAGTAAGAGCGTTCGAAAAATTGTGGCCCAAAATAACTTCTGAAGATGTGTTGAAAAACTGAGCGTTTGAAAAGTTGCCTAAAGATCCACGAAAATTTTCCACGTGGTGATTTGAAAAATATACCTCTAGGTTTCGGAGCAAGATTTTAGAAGTATTTGGTTCGAAATTTTTTTTCAAAGTCGTAAACATTTCCGTAAGTGAACAACTGAACTTTTGAAAAAATGCATGAAAAATTGTGAGATATAGATAGATCTCGACCAACTATTTTGAAAATCAGTCCATTAGGCGATTATAAAAGAAAGTTTTCGAAAAAAATACAAAAAATCTTTTAGTTTCGAAATCGTTCGAAAAAATGTCGAACTGTCATATTAAAATTTTGGGTGTTTGAAAAAGTTTCCTAAATATCTACAAAAAATTGTGGGATATAAATTTGGGTGTGCTGATTCGATAAATACAGCATGTTTATTGTCCAGAGCAAGATTATACAAAAAATTGGTTTCAATGCCATTTTTTTTAAATCCCAAAATTTGTTACATTTCTTTGGGCGATTCAGGAAAAATGGTGAGAGTTTTCGAAGAAAGACGGCGAAAATATATAACTTCTGGAGGTCGAAATGTACCAAAAAAAATCTCTTCAGGAAATTTTCGAGGATCGTCGAATAAATGAAATTTTCAGAAGGAAGTACTGAAAATTTCATCTTTTGAAAATATTGCTTAAAAATTCACAGATCTCGAAGTGCCGATTCCTAAAATATAGCAAATTTATTGTCCCGGAGCAAGATTTTTTTAATTTTTGGTTTGAAAGTCTATTTTTTGGTTATTTGGTTATTCAATTCCTCAAAAATGGTAGAATTTTTTTTTAAATCCCAAAATTTGTTACACTTATTTGAGCGATTCAGGAAAAATAGTGAGAGTTTTGGAAGAAAGACGTCGAAAATAACTTCTGGAGGTCGAAATCTACAAAAAAAATCTCTTCAGGAAATTTTCGAGGATCGTCGAATAAATGAAATTTTCATAAAGAAGTACTGAAAATTTGAGCTTTTGAAAATGTTGCTTAAAAATTCACAGATCTCGAAGTGCCGATTCCTAAAATATAGCAAATTTATTGTCCCGCAGCAAGATTTTTTGAATTTTTGGTTTGAAAGTCTATTTTTTGGTTATTTGGTTATGCAATTCCTTAAAAATAGTAGAATTTTTTTTTAAATCCCAAAATTTGTTACACTTCTTTCAGCGATTCAGGAAAAATGGTGAGAGTTTTCGAAGAAAGACGTCGAAAATAATTTCTGGAGGTCGAAATGTACAAAAAAAATCTCTTCAGGAAATTTTCGAGGATCGTCGAATAAGTGAAATTTTCATAAGGAAGTACTGAAAATTTGAGCTTTTGAAAATGTTGCTTAAAAATTCACAAATCTCGAAGTGCCGATTCCTAGAATATAGCAAATTTATTGTCCCGGAGCAAGATTTTTTGAATTTTTGGTTTGAAAGTCTATTTTTTGGTTTTTGGTTATGCAATTCCTTAAAAATAGTAGAATTTTTTTTTAAATCCCAAAATTTGTTACACTTCTTTGAGCGATTCAGGAAAAATGGTGAGAGTTTTCGAAGAAAGACGTCGAAAATAACTTCTGGAGGTCGAAATGTACAAAAAAAAATCTATTCAGGAAATTTTCGAGGATCGTCGAATAAATGAAATTTTCATAAGGAAGTACTGAAAATTTGAGCTTTTGAAAATGTTGCTTATAAATTCACAGATCTCGAAGTGCCGATTCCTAAAATATAGCAAATTTATTGTCCCGGAGCAAGATTTTTTGAATTTTTGGTTTGAAAGTCTATTTTTGGTTATTTGGTTATGCAATTCCTTAAAAACGGTAGAATTTTTTTTTAAATCCCAAAATTTGTTACACTTCTTTGAGCGATTCAGGAAAAATGGTGAGAGTTTTCGAAGAAACACGTCGAAAATAACTTCTGGAGGTCGAAATCTACAAAAAAATCTCTTCAGGAAATTTTCAAGGATCGTCGAATAAATGAAATTTTCAAAAGTACTGAAAATTCGAGCTTTTGAAAATGTTGCTTAAAAATTCACAGATCTCGAAGTGCCGATTCAAAAAAATAGGAAGTCGAAAAATCTAAAAATTAAAAAATCGAAATATGTACATATTAAAAAATTCCAAAATTGAAACGTCACAAAACTTAAACATTGATAATAATTTGAAAATCGAAAAATTGAGGAGTCGAAAATTTAAAAAATCCATTAATCGAGAAATTGGGAAATCGAGAAATCCAAAAATTTAGAAACGCGAAAAATTGAAAAATCGAAAAATTCAAATACATAAATCCCAAAACTGAAACGTTGAAAAATTGGAAAATCGAAAAATCGAAAAGATGAATTATCCAAAAACTGACAAATCGGGAAATCGAAATCGAAAAATTGAAAAAGCGCGAAACCGAAACATCAAAAGTCCGAGAAGTCGAGAAATCGAAAAATCGGAAAATGAAAAAATCGATTAATCGAAAAATTCCAAAAATTTAGAAACGCCAAAAATTGAAAAACTGAAAAATCCAAAAATTCAAATAGATAAATTCCAAAACTGAAACGTCGAAGAATTGGAAACTCGAACAATCAAAAAGACGAATAATCGAAAAACTGAAAAATCGAAATCGAAAAATTGAAAAAACCCGAAATCGAAACATCAAAAGATCTAGAAGTGGAAAAATTCGAAAAATTGAGACACTGAAATATGTAGTCGAAGATTGAAAAATGGAAAAATTCAAAATTGAAAAATTTAAACTTAGAATACCCGCTAAAACGAAAAATTGAAAAATCGAAATACCCAAAAACTGAAAAATTAATTCCGAAAAATTGAAAAATCGAAAAATCTAAAAATGAGAAGGCAAAAAATCGACAGGCTGAGAAATCCAAACAACAAAAAAGCAAAAAATCGAAAATTTAAGAATTCGAAAAATTGAAAATTTACAAAATCTGGAAATCAAGACATCAACAGATCAAAAAATTAGAAAATTGAAAAATTGAAAAATTTAAGATTTAAAAAATCGCAAAATTTTGAAAAACCGAATAAGTAAAAAATCAAAAAACAGGAAGTCGAAAAATCTAAAAATTTAAAAATCGAATTATGTACATATTAAAAAATTCCAAAATTGAAAAGTCACAAAACTTAAACATTGATAATAATTTGAAAATCGAAAAATTGAGAAGTCGAAAAATTAAAAAATCCATTAATCGAGAAATTGAGAAACCGAGAAATCCAAAAATTTAGAAACGCTAAAAATTGAAAAATCGAAAAATTCAAATACATAAATTCCAAAACTGAAACGTTGAAAAACTGGAAAATCGAAAAACCGACAAGATGAATTATCCAAAAACTGACAAATCGGGAAATCGAAATCGAAAAATTGAAAAAGTGCGAAAGCGAAACATAAAAAGTCCGAGAAGTCGAGAAATCGAAAAATCGGAAAATTAAAAATCGATTAATCGAAAAATTCCAAAAATTTAGAAGCGCCAAAAATTGAAAAACTGAAAAATCCAAAAATTTAAATTGATAAATTCCAAAACTGAAACGTCGAAGAATTGGAAACTCGAACAATCAAAAAGACGAATAATAATCGAAAAACTGAAAAACTGAGAAATCGAAACATCAAAAGATCTAGAAGTGGAAAAATCGACAAATTGAAACATTGAAATGTGTAGTTGAAGATTGAAAAATGAAAAAAATTAAAAATTAAAAAATTTAAACTTAAAACACCCGCTAAAACGAAAAATTGAAAAATCGAAATATCCAAAAACTGAAAAATCGAATTCTGAAAAATTGAAAAATCGAAAAATCTAAAAATGAGAAGGCAAAAAACCGACTGGCTGAGAAATCCAAACAACAAAAGAGCAAAAAATCGAAAATCTAAGAATTCGAAAAATTTAAAATTTACAAAATCGAGAAATCAAGACATCAACAAATCGAAAAATTAGAAAATTGAAAAATCGAAAAATTTAAGATTTAAAAAATCACAAAATTTTGAAAAACCGAATAAGTAAAAAATCAAAAAAAAAACAGGAAGTCGAAAAATCTAAAAATTTAAAATTCGAAATATGTACATATTAAAAAATTCCAAAATTGAGAAGTCACCAAGCTTAAACATTGATAATAATTTGAAAATCGAAAAATTGAGAAGTCGAAAAATTAAAAAATCCATTAATCAAGAAATTGAGAAATCGAGAAATCCAAAAATTTAGAAACGCCAAAAATTGAAATTTCGAAAAATTCAAATACATAAATCCCAAAACTGAAACGTTGAAAAATTGGAAAATCTAAAAACCGACAAGATGAATTATCCAAAAACGGACAAATCGGGAAATCGAATTAGAAAAATTGAAAAAGTGCGAAACCGAAACATGAAAAGTCCGAAAAGTCGAGAAATCGAAAAATCGGAAAATTAAAAAATCGATTAATCGAAAAATTCCAAAAATTTAGAAACGCCAAAAATTGAAAAACTGAAAAATCCAAAAATTTGAATAGATAAATCCCAAAACTGAAACGTCGAAGAATTGGAAACTCGAACAATCAAAAAGACGAATAATCGAAAAACTGAAAAACTGGGAAATCGAAATCGAAAAATTGAAAAATCGAAATATCCAAAAACTGAAAAATTAATTCCGAAAAATTGAAAAATCGAAAAATCTAAAAATGAGAAGGTAAAAAATCGACAGGCTGAGAGATCCAAACAACAAAAAAGCAAAAAATCGAAAATTTAAGAATTCGAAAAATTGAAAATTTACAAAATCGGGAAATCAAGACATCAATAAATCGCAAAATTTTGAAAAACCGATAAGTACAAAATCAAAAAAACAGGAAGTCGAAAAATCTAAAAATTTAAAAATCGAAATATGTACATATTAAAAAATTCCAAAATTGAAAAGTCACAAAACTTAAACATTGATAATAATTTGAAAATCGAAAAATTGAGAAGTCGAAAAATTAAAAAATCCATTAATCGAGAAATTGGGAAATCGAGAAATCCAAAAATTTAGAAACGCCAAAAATGGAAAAATCGAAAAATTCAAATACATAAATCCCAAAACTGAAACGTTGAAAAATCGAAAAACCGAAAAGATGAATTATCCAAAAACTGACAAATCGGGAAATCGAAATCGAAAAATTGAAAAAGCGCGAAACCGAAACATCAAAAGTCCGAGAAGTCGAGAAATCGAAAAATCGGAAAATTAAAAAATCGATTAATCGAAAAATTCCAAAAATTTAGAAACGCCAAAAATTGAAAAACTGAAAAATGCAAAAAATTAAATGGATAATTTCCAAAACTGAAACGTCGAAGAATTGGAAACTCGAAAAATCAAAAAAACTGAAAAACTGGGAAACCGAAATCGAAAAATTGAAAAAAAACCCGAAATCGAAAGATCAAAAGATCTAGAAGTGGAAAAATCGACAAATTGAGACATTGAAATGTGTAGTTGAAGATTGAAAAATGGAAAAATTCAAAATTCAAAAATTTAAACTTAAAACACCCGCTAAAACGAGAAATTGAAAAATCGAAATATCCAAAAACAAAAAATTTATTCCGAAAAATTGAAAAATCGAAAAATCGAAAAATGAGAAGGCAAAAAATCGACAGGCCGAGAAATCCATGCAAAAAAGCAAAAAATCGAAAATTTAAGAATTCGAAAAACTGAAAATTTACAAAATCGAGAAATTAGAAAATTGAAAAATCGAAAAATTTAAGATTTAAAAAATCACAAAATTCTGAAAAACCGAATAAGTAAAAAATCAAAAAAACAGGAAGTCGAAAAATCTAAAAAATTAAAAATCGAAATATGTACTCGTACATATTAAAAAATTCCAAAATTGAAAAATCACAAAACTTAAACATTGATAATAATTTGAAAATCGAAAAATTGAGATGTCGAAAAATTAAAAACTCCATTAATCGAGAAATTGAGAAATCGAAAAATCCAAAAATTTGGAAACGCCAAAAATTGAAAAATTGAAAAATCGAAAAGATGAATTATAAAAAAACTGATAATTCGGGAAATCGAAATCGAAAAATTGAAAAAGCGCGAAACCGAAACATCAACAGACCGAGAAGTCGAATAATTGGGAAATGGAAGAGGCTAAAAATCGAAAAACTGAAAAATTAATTCCAAAAAATTGAAAAATCTGAAAACGCGAAGGCACTAAATCGAGAAATTGAGAAATCGAGAGAACAAAAAAGTGAAAATCTAAAATTTAAAAATTCGAAAAATTGAAAATTTAAAAATCGAGCAATCAAAACACCGACAAATAGAAAAATCAAAAAATTGAAAAATCGAAAAATGAAAGATTTAAAAGGTCGCAATATTTTGAAAAATCGAATAAGTAAAAAATCAAAAGTGTTCTGTGCCTTAAAAAACGGGACAGAATCATTGAAATATCCTTTAAGATTAGGTCAACATCTTTGAAAAATATTAATTTTAATCTTAAAAACAGGGCAAAATAATTAAAAAACGAAGTGTTCTAAAGGGGCCTTACTAAATATTTTATCGTTGTATCTCGAAACACACTTTTAATATAATTATTTATTGTAAGAGAAGCTCCCACTTCTCTAACATAAGTAATTAAAATCGCTGCACCAATTAAATTACTCCGCAATTTGTAAATCCCACACTGAAACCACTCTCATAAAATTAGTAAAAAAAAAGCGTAGGCTTCAACTTCGTGATTAATGCGCCCGGGCCGCGATCCACCTCAGCCCGCCCCTGCCACTTAACACATCCACTTTCTAGACTTTTACCTAGCGATCACCTAATGACTCACAATTTCCTCATCGCCACTAACCACTAATTTACTTCTTGTGTTTGTGTAAGCAGCAAAAAGTGAGCGCTTTTCCGTCCGACTGATATTCATATTCCCCCCACCGTTTGAGCGCCGCTGGTAATCCCACTTCTGATTCGAAAAAGGTGGGCAAGGTGGAGGTGAACGAGCGAGCACATGGCCATAGAAATGTAAATTTTTCAATGCAGTAGTTGTCTTTTCTTGCTCGCGTATGACTGACAACGGAGTATTTTTCTTGTGCCCGTTCAAGCGATTAAAGCGGATGTGAGCCATCGAAGCGACGATGAAAAATCGCGCAAAAAGTTAAGAACGAAACCCGTGACGACGTCGGTGAGTGCGCAAAAAATTCCACACAATCGAGTATTAAAAAGTGTCATTTTGCTGTTCAGGCTTTAATGGTCGTAGTGACGCATTTGGTGTTTTTCGGGAGAAAAAGCAACGAAAATCGACGAGTTTATGGGTGTTTTAGATCGAACGAAATGTAATGGTTTCGAGTATTGTTTTCTTTGATTACGTGTTGTATTGTTATTTGTTCTGTACAGGTATCTTACACCTACTATTTCATTATGCAACGCTCACTGAATCGTAATAACGCTATAACAATCTTGTGTTGGTTTTTATTGAAATGAATAACGGTGTGGTAATTGTTTTGTGCCAGTTACATATTTGTGAGGAACTGTGTTTGGCTGGGTTAAATAATTGCGCTAAATTGTGTGAAGGGTCGTATTTAAGCAGATAAGTTTGGAGGGCACTAGATCAGAGATAAGTCAGGTTGTTAGTAATAAGTGGGTGACTTAAGTGGGTTTTCGGGTGCTTAAAATTCCAAAAAAAGTACACATTTGTAAACGAAAACGCTGTTCTAGTCGAGTTCGTGCCGATATTTATGATGATTTCTTCTTGGAGGTTAATTACTTTTAAATTAGGTATCCAAAACGTACCAGCACGCCTCAAACAAAAATTTAGAACGAACGGGTTGAAATGTGACACTAATTTGCAAAAAAAAAAAATATTATTATATTATTTATGAAGCGAAAATTATAAGCCAAACGCGATTGATTTATTATAATGTAAAGGTCGTGTTTGAGCTTTTCCTACGTAGGTTGAACAAATCTGTATTCACCTCACGTAAAAGTTTATGATACGAGAGGGACACGATTCATTTAAAGTTAATTTGATTTCCATTTCCCAAAAGATTCGTTTAATTAAAACAATTTTGTTCACTGAATTAAAAAAAAATTGAATCATTGATTTCAAGTCACGTTTAATGTGCATGAATTGTACACAAGGTCGTTTGAAGAATGTCAAGTTCATGATTTTTGACACATCATGTAGGACACGAAAATGTAGAGAAAAGAATATGAAACTTTTTGTGGCGTCATCTCAAATTTTTGACAAGTAAATCCAGTCTGAAGTATTGTAAGCGGGTCCACCAGGCGATTGACTACTTTCATGTTTTCTCGACTTTCGTGACCCATTCAGTTTCCATCTGTCTGTCTGTTCGCCGTCTGTGTGGATTATAATTAGACACATAATAGGGGCAATTCTGGATCAAACCTGTTAAAATTTCAAGGTTGTTAAGAAATAAACAGCCAGATTTATAAATTTACTCGTTACTATGAAAATTTGCAATTTAACACTCGTTAAATTTAACAAATGTGTACCGAATTGCTCCTAATATCCGAATAACTGGAACGATTGTTGTCCAAATTTGTATGTATGTTAGCAATGTCGTGTAGGTAGTAAAACTAGTTAACCAAAATTTGTCTGAACATAGAATGACGTCATCTCCAATTTACCTACAACTGTAAATGTTAATTAAATTTTATAAAATTACGTACTCCTCCATTTGTGGTTTATGAATCTGAGTTAAATTTTTACCAGATTTTTGGAAAAAAAATCACAACATTTTACCATTTTACCTTGAAATTACAAAAAAATCGAATGATTTGAAATGTTGTAAACCGTTTATTTAAGTTAAAAAGTAACATAGTCCTGAAGTTGTGATTGATGAATCCGTGTCGAATGTCATACTAGACATCGAGATTTTTGGAATAAAATATTTTTTTTTACAATTTTTGAATTTTCGATTTTTCGATTTATTGATTTTTCATCTTCAGATTATTCAGTTTTTCAATTTCTCGATTTTCACTTTTTCGATTCCTTCAATTTTGGAATTTTTCAATTTTTCTATTCTTCAATTTCTCGATTATTTCAAGTTTTCGATTTCTTGAATTTTTTTTATTTCAAAATTTTCTGATATTTTCGGCTTAGGTTTTTCAATTTTTCTATTCTTAAGTTTTTAGATTTTTCAATTTTTCACTTTTTCGATTTCTCGATCTTTCAATTTCTTCGATTCTTCAATTTTTCTTCGATTTTTCAGTATTGCGATTTTTCTATTTATCAATCTATCATTTTTTCGATACTTCAGTTTTGGGATTTTTCTACATTTTGATTCTTTAATTTTTCAATTTTTCGATTTGTCTTTTTTCCCATTTTGATATTTCAATTTTTCAATTCTTTGACTTTTGGACTTTAAATTTATTGATTCTTTTATTTTTCTCATTTCTCGTTTTCGACGTCTCATTTTCTCTCTTTCAAATATTCAGTTCTTCAATTTTTCTTCGATTTCTCAATTATTCGATTTATCGATTTATCAGTTATTCAGTATTTAGATTATTGGATTTTTCGATGTTTTTTTTACCTTTTCAATTTTTCATCTTCGGTTTTATCAATTCTTCAATTTCTCGATTTTCAATTTTTCGATTACTTTAAGTTCGGGATTTTTCAATTTTTCGATTCTTCAATTCCTCGATTTTTATTTTTCGATTTCAAATTTTTTGATGTTTTCATTTTAGGGTTTTCAATTTTTCATTTTTCAGTTTTTAGAGTTTCCACTTTTTCGAGTTTCCACTTTTTCGCTTTTTCGACTTTTAAAATTTTTGTTTTTCCGGTTTTTCTATTTTTCGGTTTTTTAAATTTTCGATTTCTGAATTTAACGAGAATCCGTTGTTTCGATTTTTCAATTTTTAGGTTCCTCAGTTTTTCGATTTTTTGATTTTTCATTTTGGTTTCGGATTTTTCAATTTTTAGATTTTTCAAAATTTTGAATTTTTGGTTTATTTATTTTTCGGCTTATTAAATTTTAGATTTCTCAATTTTTCAATTTTTCAATTGTTCAATTTCTCGATTTTTCGATTTGTCAATTTTTGATTTTTCGATTTTTTGAAATTTCCCGATTTTTTAATTTTTCGATTTCTCGATTTTACAGTTTTTCGACTTCTCGACTTTTCTATTTCTAGATATTTTGATGTTTTGATTTCTAGATTTTTCGGTTTTTCTTTGTACGATTTCTCGATATTTCAGATTTTCAATTTTTCGGTGTCTCGATTTTTAATTTCCCAGTTTTTCGATTTCGGATTTTAGATTTTTTGAATTTCCAATTTTTCGACTTTTCAAATTTTTGAATTTTTGATTTATTTATTTTTCGACTTTTTAAATTTCAGATTTTTTAATTTTTCAATTTTTCGATTGTTCAATTTCCCGATTTTTCGATTTGTCAATTTTTGATTTTTCGATTTTTTTAAATTTCCCGATTTTTTAATTTTTCGATTTCTCGATTTTACAGTTTTTCGACTTCTCGACTTTTCTATTTCTAGATATTTTGATGTTTTGATTTCTAGATGTTTCGGTTTTTCTTTTTACGATTTCTCGACACTTCAGATTTTCAATTTTTCGGTGTTTCGATTTTTTAATTTCCCAGTTTTTCGACTTCGGATTTTAGATTTTTTGAATTTCCAATTTTTCGATGTTTCGATTTTTCAGTTTTTCAATTTCTCAATTTTTTGACATTTCAGTTTTGGGAGTTTTCAATTTTTTAATTTTTAGGTTCCTCAATTTTACGATTTTTCAACTTTTGTTTTTTTCTCCATTAGATTTTCCGATTTCTTGATTTCCGGTTTTTTTCATTTTACAGTTTTTAGATTTTCCGGTTTTTCAATTTTTCGACTTTTCAAATTTTTGATTTTTCAGTTTTTTAAATTTTTAATTTCTAAATTTAACGAAATTCCGACGTTTCGATTTTTCAATTTTTCACTTTTTAGATTTTCCGAATTTTCAATGTTTGAACTTTTAAAGTTTATGATTTTTTGGTTTTTCTATTTTTCGGTTTTTTAAATTTTAGAGTTTTCAATTTTTCGATTTTTTAATTTATCGAAAACCCTTCTGATGTTTCGATTTTTCGATTGTTCAATTTCCCGATTTTTCGATTTCACAATTCTTGATTTTTCGATTTTTTGAAAATTCCCAGTTTTTCAATTTTTAATTTTTCCAGTTCTCGACCTTTTGGTTTTTTAATTTTTGTTTCTTTCTCTATTAGTTTTTCCGATTTCTCGATTTTTTCATTTTTCAGTTTGTAGATTTTCCAGTTTTTCGATTTTTCGACTTTTAAAATTTTTGTTTTTCCGATTTTTCTAATTTTCGGTTTTTTTAAATTTTCGATTTCTAAATTTAACGAGATTCCGATGTTTCGATTTTTCAATTTTTAGATTCCTCAGTTTTTCGATTTTTCAATTTTTCACTTTTTAGATTTTCCGAATTTTCAATTTTTCAACTCTTAAAATTTTTGATTTTTTGGTTTTTCTATATTTCGATTCTTCAATTTTTAATTTTTCGATTTCTCGATTTTTCAGTTTTTCTCTACGATTTCTCGATACTTCAGATTTTCAATTTTTCGGTGTTTCGATTTTTTAATTTCCCAGTTTTCGATTTTAAATTTTTTGTTTTTTTTTCTTTCAACATTAGGTTTTCGGATTTCTCGACTCCTCATTTTTTCATTTGTCAGTTTTTAGATTCTTCGATTTTTCAATTTTTCGACTTTTAAAATTTTTTATTTTTTAGTTTTTTCTATTTTTCGAGTTCTGAATTTCTCGAGATCCCGATCTTTCGATTATTCAATTGTTCAATTTCCCGATTTTTAGATTTGTCAATTTTTGATAATTTGAAATTTCCCAATTTTTCAATTTTTTCGATTTTACGGTTTTTCGACTTCTCCACTTTTCAATTTCTCGACATTTCGATGTTCCGATTTTCCGGCTTTCGGTTTTTCGACTTTTCGGTTTTCGATTTATCAATCTTCCAATGTTGATATGAATCGAGTTTTCAATTTTTCGATTTCCCAATTTTTCGAGATTTCTTTCCGTTTTTCAGATTTTTTAAATTGCATATTTTTCGATTTTTCAAATTTTTGATTCTACGATTTTTTCATGTTTTCATTTAGGTATTTATTAATTTTTATTACTTCAATATTTGAATTTTGGAAAATTTTCAATTTC